CACCCCTAGATTTTTTTTTGCCCCGCCCTGACCCAGCCCCATGGCCCCCGCCCTGCCAGCCCCACCTCCCACTCCCCTTCCTCCCGGCCAGCCCCACGGCCCTCCTGGCCAGTCGTCCCCCCCACGATCAAGTGTGTCCAGTATTTTGGGGGAGGTCTACTTGGTAACCCTATCTCCAGCCAGGAGAGGGCCCAGCCTGCCTGGGGCGTGCACTGAGCTCTGAGTGCGAGGGGCCTGGGACCCCCCGAAGCTCAGTGTGGGCGGGGCCCAGGCCTATCCTGCCCCCAGGTGGGAGTGAGGGGCCCTGCGCTACCTCACATCCAGCTGCCTATGCCTTTATCCTGGGTTGGGACCACTGCCCCGTGATCCCCTGGCTGCTGGGACATGCTGGCCCTTCCAGGAGCCGCACGGGGCCGGGGAAAGCAGGGACCTGCTGCTCACAAACAGGGAGGAACTAATAGGGGAAGTGGAGGTGGGTGACAACCTGGGAAGCAGTGATCGTGAGATGGTAGATTTCAGGATCCTGACTAAAGGAAGAAAAGAGAGTAGTAAAATACATACCCTGGACTTCAGAAAAGCAGACTTCGACTCCCTCAGAGACCTGATGGGCAGAATCCCCTGGGATGCTAACATGAAGGGGAAAGGAGCCCAGGAGAGCTGAAAGGAGCCCAGAAGCCTTATTGAAGGCACAGAAAGAAACCATTCCAATGCGTAGCAAGAGATGCAAACATGGTAGGAGACCGGATTGGCTTATAGGGGAAATCCTTGGTGAACTTAAGCACAAAAAGGAAGCTTACAGAAAGTGGAAACTTGGACAGATGACCAGGGAGGGATATAAATGTATAGCTTGAGAATGCAGGGGAGTTATCAGGAAGCCGAACGTGCAATTGGAATTGCGACTTGCAAGGGATGTGACGGATAACAAGAAAGGTTTCTACAGGCATGTTAGCAAGAAGAAGGTGACCAGAGAGGAGGTGTGGGGCCCCTACTGGATGAGGGTGGTAACCTAGTGACAGATGATGTGGAGAAAGCTGAAGTACTCAATGCTTTCTTTGCCTCTGTCTTCACGGACAAGGTCAACTCCCCGACTAATGCGCCAAGTGACGCAATATGGGACGAAGGTGGACAGCCCTTGGTGGGGAAAGAACAGGTTAGGAACTATTTTAAAAAAGCTAAACGTACATAAATCCATAGTCCAGACATAATGCATCCGAGGGTACTGAGGGAGTTGGCAAATGTCATTGAGGAGCCTTTGGCCATTATCTTTGAAAGGTCGTGGAGATCGGGAGAGATCGCGGATGATTGGAAAAAGGCAAATGTAGAGCCCATCTTTATGAAAGGGAAGGAGGACGATCCAGGGAACTATAGGCCAGTCAGTCTTACCTCAGTCCCTGGAAAAATCATAGAAGGGATCCTCAAGGAATCCATTTTGAGGCACTTGGAAGAGAGGAAGGTGATCAGGAATAGTCAGCATGGATTCATGAAGGGCAAGTTGTGCCTGACCAATCTGATTAGCTTCTATGATGAGTTAACTGGCTCTGTGGACGTGGGAAAGTCAGTGGATGTGATATACCTTGACTTTAGCAAGGCTTTTGATACGGTCTCCCACAATATTCTTGCCAGCAAGTTAAGGGAATGTGGATTTGATAAATGGATAGAAAGCTGGCTGGAAGGTCAGGCATAGTGGGTAGTGATCAACAGCTCGATGTCAGGATGGTGGTCGGTTTCTAGCGGAGTGCCCCAAGGTTCGGTTCTGGAACCGGTTTTGTTCAACATCTTTATTAATGACCTGGATGAGGGGATGGATTGCACCCTCAGCAAGTGTGTGGATGACACTAAGGTAGAGGGAGGTAGATACACTGGAGGTCAGAGATAGAGTCCAGAGTGACTTAGACAAATTGGAGGATTGGGCCACAAGAAATCTAATGAGGTTCAACAAGGACAAGTGCAGAGTCCTGCAGTTGGGGCAGAAGAATCCCAAGCATTGTTACAGGCTGGGGACCGACTGGCTAAGTAGCAGTTCTGCAGAAAAGAACCTGGGGGTTACAGTGGATGAGAAGCTGAATATAAGTCTACAGTGTGCCCTTGTAGCCAAGAAGGCTAATGGCATATTAGGATGCATTTAGAGGAGCATTGCCAGTAGAACTAGAGATGTAATTATTCCTCTTTATTCGGCTCTGTTGTGGCCACCTCTGGAGTACTGTGTCCAGTTCTGGGTCCCCAATTACAGGAAGGATGTGTGTGCATTGCAGAGGGTCCAGCAGAGGGCAACCAAAATTATTAGGGGCCTGGAGCATATGACCTACGAGGAGAGGCTGAGGGAGTTGGATCTATTTAGTCTGCAGAAGAGTGAGGGGGGATTTGATAGCCGCCTTCAACTTCCTGAAGGGAGGTTCCAAAGAGGATGGAGAGAGGCTGGTCACAGCAGTGACAGATGGCAGAACAAGGAGCAATGGTCTCAAGTTGTGGTGGGAGAGGTCCAGGTTGGATATTAGGAAAAACTATTTCACTAGGAGAGTGGTGAAGCACTGGAATGGGTTCCCTAGGGAAGTAGTGGAGTCTCCATCCCTAGAGGTGTTTAAGTCTTGGCTAGGTTGATTTAATTGGCATTGGTCCTGTCTTTAGCAGGGGGCTGGACTTGATGACCTCCCGAGGTCACTTCCAGCTCTAAGGTTCTATGATAACCCTAATCTGGCCCTTCCTTCAAAGGGTGGAGCCTTACGGATTTTGCACTGATGAGGTTCAACAAGGACACGGGCAAAGTCCTGCACTTGGGACGGAAGAATCCCAAGTGTTGTTACAGGCTGGGGACCGACTGGCTAAGCAGCAGTTCAGCAGAAAAGGACCTGGGGATTACAGTGGAAGAGAAGCTGGAGATGAGATAACAGGTTGGATATTAGGAAAAACTATTTCCCTAGGAGGGTGGGGAAGCGCTGGGCTGGGTTCCCTAGGGAGGTGGTGGAATCTCCGTCCCTAGAGGTTTTTAAGTCCCAGCTTGACAATGCCCTGGCTGGGATGATTGAGTTGGGCTTGGTCTTGCTTTGGGCAGGGGACTGGACTCTGACTCCTGAGGTCTTCTCCAGTGCTAATCCGTGATTCTCTGCATACACAAAAACTAGAGACTCGCTTAAAACAGAATCAACCCAAGAGTCCCATGAGTCACCTGACTCCAGGAGCTGGGGTTGTACCGCTCACAAGCGCTGGCCCCGCTGTCATGCTGGTGCACAGCAAGGGGCAAAGGAGGGACAGTTACGGTGCCCGGCTGGGAAATGCGGAGTTGGCAGGCGAGTTGCCAGTCGGGATGCCGATCGGACCCCCCCAAACAGCACTGCTGTTGTTCCAACACTGTCTCTTTATTCAGACTTGTTCTCGTTAAAAAAGTGTTCTCAGACCCTGATCGCCAACCAAGTGTTAAAACGCACGGGTTTACCTTAGTGCCCCCTTCCCACAGTGCATGGGGTGGATTCAATCTGTGTCACTGCCCATGTGCAGAGACGCAGGGATTCCCCCACTGTCAGCTGGGGGGGATGTTCCACAGTGGTGGGGGAAGGAAAGTCCGTGCAAAGTGGCGGGAAGGAGATGCCACGGAGCAGGCGCGACCTGCTGCACAACCTCAGCACAGGCCCTGCCCCGGGTCCTGACGTCGGGTTCCTTCCTTCAGAGCATCCCAGGTGCAAAGTGCAAGCGGTACAGTCCTGGTTCCAAGCGCCAAGGCCTGGCTTAGTTGACCGTGCTGCTTTGACGCCTTTCCTCTGTGCTCCCAGCCTCGCCCGGCGTGGCCCCCGCCAGCGGTAGCACCGAAACGTCATCTGCAGCAGAGAGGGAGGAGCGGCAGGTTGGCCTCTGGGTTACCCGGTTCCCAGGACTCCCACGTAGGAGACATGGGCCAGAAAAGCACTTAGCAGCCGACTGACGAGACAGTCTGCAGCCTGTCACCCCATGCTTAGACTTGGCCTGCCCCCAACAGCGTCCAGCTTAACCCCGGGCCTCCACCACGGCGTTCAAAGCCATTACGGGATTTGTCCCCTCGTTTCCCCTCATCCCAACGGCTGCTGGACACACACATGCCTTGGAAACATCTCAGCCCACATCTGCCAGCCCTGCCAGAGAACAGCCAGGCAAGGCCAGCTACATGTGAACCAAACCAACCAGCACTGACCCCAGCCATCCAATGCCCAGCCCCATGTTCTGGCCACTAGGCCGCACTGCCTCCATCAGGTCTAGGCCAAGAGGCACCAGCTTCACATAAGCCAGGGCAAGGACGTGTCTTTGCTTAAAAGCCTGCACTGCTGTAGAACTGACACTAAACTGCCGGGGGAAGAGCTCTCCCACTCCCCCATCCCCCCACAGGCAGTACCAGCTGTGCCACCAATTGTGCCATCTAAATGGGTCAGTCAGGATAAGTGCCCCTCTTGGGGGTGGATTTTTCACCCCTGATCCAGGTCTGCAGCAGAGACCAGATCTTAGAGGCAGCAGCAGCAGCAGGGGTCGTGCAGCACCCCAGTGTTCAGTTAAGGAGCCCCCCAACTCACATTAGAGCCCCCAGGCCAACTCCCTTGAGCGCTGCAGGTGCGTTTGCTTCCGCAGCGTTGGTGGGGTGGGGCATCTGCTAACAGGCCTGGCCCCCCGCCCAGCAGTGGCTCAGCTTCATTTCACTTTACCCCCAGTGGTTCCGTGTAAGTAGCCAGCTGGGTCTCCGAGGGGTGTTCCAGGCCTGTTGGAGAAGAGCTATGCTACAGCAGGACACCTGCGAGGGACAAGCCCAGGGAGAGTGCAGGTGCAGACTAGCGACGAGGGAAGGGTTCTAGCTCATTTAAATGTCTCTCGGCTGCTCGCTGGTTCCCCAACAGCGCCTCCTGGTGGAAGTGGCTGGAACTGGAGTAGCTGGGAGCTGCCCCACTGGCAGCCTTGCTACACTGCCACCCACAGGGACGGGGTAGCAGGGAACGCCCCCACAGCCGCATGTGTAGACGGACACCCTCCTTCAGAAACCAGCCCCTCCCGTGCAGGGATCTCCCCGCAGCCCCCGCTCTGCCAACAGCCCTCTCCCAGGCCACTGTGCGGCACTCACGGAATCGGACCCGGACTGGCCAGATCATAATGCAGCACAGGCAGATGGTGGCGCCCACAGCGACGCCCCCGGTGACGACCACCATCACCCAGTGGTAGAACTCAACGCAGCCGGCGCAGCAGAGCTGGGTCCTGCAACAAGGGGAGAAGTGAGGAGCTGGCAGGGCCCCGGCTCCCTCAGCCCCACGCACGCACCCCAGAGGGGACAGGGTCAGAGCCCGGCACAGCATGGGGAGTCACTGCAGGTGGGAGGCCAGGGGATGCCCCCGGAGCAGGAAGGGGCAGTGCTGGCTCCGGCCATGGTGCAGTACAGCGGTAAGCCACTGCCAGAGCGTACCGCCCCCCCATTGGTTGGCAGAGGGGGGATAATGGCCTACTACAGCTGGCAGCAGGGACAGTGACTCTGGCTCAAGCAGCAGAGGCCAGCACTGTGCACTGGAAGGTCTCGGGCTCTGAGGGGAAGGGCTGCCAGCAGCTCCAGGCCTTGCTGCCCAGAGGGGGACGGAGATGCCTGCCGCAGGGGTCTCCGGAAGCAGCCCCCGCCCAGCCCCGACACTTACGGGCAGGGGTGCAGGTTCTGGATGGCCATCACCGCCAACCCGTTGGCCACTTTGTCCGTGAAGCTCATGGCTCCGTAGACGAAGGCTCCGCTGTGCTGCCAGGGAAACCAACAGCATCAGCCTCGTTTGACACCCCTGGGCTAGGGCCACCATCCCCCAGCCCCGGCTCTGCCTCTGCGGCGTCTCCCGCAGCCGCCCCGCTGGAGGCCCTGCACACGCACGCCGGGAGCCCCCAGGCCTCTCAGCCAGCTCAGGGCCAGCGGCTCGGCTCCGCGCCTGCAGAACCAGGGAGCCCCCTGCACAGACCCACCAGCTCTCCGAAGCCTCTTCAGAAACTCAGGCAGGGCGACGCCCCACGGAGCACTCTGGGCTGAAGGACGCCAGCCCCCTGGGGACGCTGCTCGGACGTCCCAACAGCTGGGACTGGCCTTTCCCAGCAGGCCACAGCAAAGGGGAGGTGGCACCCTCGGCTCCGCTCCAGGGGCACTAACTGGGGCCAGCCCTCTGCTCGCCTCCGCACAAACGTACCGTGTTGGTCCCAATGAGGTCGGCCGTCATGGAGAGAGATGTGACCAAGATGGTGGCCGAGCCAGCCCCGAGCAGCACGGCAGCTCCGTAAACCTCGGCTCCGATCTGGCTGTCCAGGGCCACCCAGCCGGCGAAGACCAGGACAATGACTAACCCCACGAAGTAAGTCAGCTGCTCCGGACACGGCAGGGACAGAGGGGAGGAAAACACTGCTGAGCAAGGGACTCTACAGCTGCAGGCCACAGGGCTGCGTCGAGGGCGGGCGGGCAGACGCAGGGAAGGGCCAGAGGGGAACGAGGGCACGCAGCAAGGCGGATGGAACCGGTACGTAATCAGGAAGAGGAAAGCGAGGGGCAAGCAGCCTTCAGATGCTGGAAAGGCTGCCAGAGGAAAGGTGGAGGAAAGTGTCTCTCTTGCCCCGGAGGCAGGATGAGGGACAAGGGGCTCGCACCTCCACAGAGCCGATCCAGAGTAAGTCTCGGGGAAGCCTTGCTAGCTGGCAGAGCAGAGGGATAGAATCACAGAATCATAGACTAATAGGACTGGAAGGGACCTCAAGAAGTCATCGAGTCCAGCCCCCCGCCCTCAAGGCAGGACCAAGCTCCGTCTACACCATCCCTGACAGATGTCTATCTAACCTGTTCTTAAATATCTCCAGAGAGGGAGATTCCACCACCTCCCTTGGCAATTTATTCCAATATTTGACCACCCTGACAGTTAGGAATTTTTTCCTAATGTCCAATCTAAACCTCCCCTGCTGCACTTTAAGCCCATTACTCCTTGTCCTGTCCTCAGAAACCAAGAGGAACAAATTTTCTCCTTCCTCCTTGTGACACCCTTTTAGATATTTGAAAACCGCTATCATGTCCCCCCTTAATCTTCTTTTTTCCAAACTAAACAAGCCCAGTTCATGAAGCCTGGCTTCATAGGTCTTCCTTTACCCTCAGGATGACGCAGCGTCTGCCTCGGGAGGGCTGGCAGCTCCGGCCCCGGCGGCTAGCCAAAGGAGGCTGGGCAGCCATCTGTCTGGGATAGCTCAGACGCAACCAACCCCGCTGCTTGGAGGGGCTGGACTAGCCCTGCGGCTCTCCGCCTTCCCCCCGTGCAGGCGTCGGGCCCCCACGCGTCACCCCTCACAGCGACCTGCTCACAAGGGCCAGCCACCGTTACCGACCATCTGCCGACTTCCGCTTTTTGTCTGTGCGAAATCCTGGTTGGTGCGGACTTCACGGGTGCGTTTCCTGGCCGGTTGTACCCCGGAAGGGCTGTGTGCCCCCAGGGATGCACCGACCCCTGGTAAGAGCTACTGGACTAGCCAGCTTGGGCAGTCCCTTGGATCCCTCTGCACCCCCAGCACAGGGCCGGAGTCACCCTGTTGTCAGCAGCTCTGTGGGGAGGGCGATGGAGGCAGGAGTGGAGGAGCAGGGGTGTGGACAAGACAAAGGGTTTGGCAGAGCTGCGTGGCCGGTTCAGAGGCCGTTTGGGTGCCTGGCTAAGGGGATCGTATTTTCAAGGCATAAGCCAGCATGGCTCTGACGTAACCAGTGCTACTGCCAGGAGATTCCTGCGCGCGGCACCATTCGTCTTTGAATGCCCCTTGGAGGCAGCCCCGCCCGTCGGGCGCTCCCTGGGGGTGGGTGGGGTTACCAGCCACATGGCGTCTCGCTTCCTTTACCCTCAGGCAATCGCCCTGTGCAGCCAGCACCAGCCTAGAGTGCCCGGGAGGGTACCGGGTTGGGACAGGACCTTACAGATCACTGGCCGATTCACCCTATGGTGCTCGGGTCCTTCTCTCAATTAACATTTGGTTTTTGGACAATAAAATGCAAGTGCCCAGGCTTCATTTGAATCCTTGCTCCGGGGCTGGGAAGGAGGGGTTCAGTCTGCGGGCTGCCGGGGGGCGAGGGGAGGAGGACAAACCCAGCCCCCCCTCACCACAGCAGCTGGGGGCCAGGTGAGAAGCGCCTCTCCATGGCCGCCACAGCTCCAGCAGGCACAGCCGGGGGAGAGGTGCATATTCCCTGGCTGGGGCAGGTCCAGGTTTGTCTGCCCCCTGTGCTCCCCAGCCAGAGTGAGGGATGCAGCAAACTGGGCACTTTCCTCGCTCCCTGATGAAGGGGAACAGCTGATACAAAGAGCACAGCCAGGGCACGTTGTACTCAGCAGGGCTAACATCAAATTAAACTACCCAACTTCAGCGACGTCAATTAGAAAGCTCAAGCAAAACAGCTGAAGTCGGCTGTTGGCGCCGTCTCAACACTCTTCCTCCCACTTCCCTTGCTCCTCGGGAAAGGAGTTACAGGCATCGGAGTCAAAAGTCCTCCAGCTCGCCACTTGGTCATTCTAGAATAACGCAGCTGTGCAGACATAGCCCTGGGAGGAGTTAAATTCAAACTCCCTCTCTTACTAGCGGGTTAATTCCTTGCTGGTGCGTGGTCGTAGCAGGCCTGGACCTGGGCTGGGATCCTACAAGCCAGCTCTGGGAGGGCATCCCTTGTGCACAGAGCTGCTTGGGGAGCAGGCGAGGTGGCCAGACAAGAAGGGGAGGGCCAAGCAGCTTGCCTGGGATGCTGGAGAGGGCGGGGGACTTGCACGATGGGGTCTGGTTTTCTGCAGTGCCGAGCATTCAACTTAGTCTGGGGGGGGCCGCAGGGTCAGGCCTGAGGGATCTGGCCTGCACAGCTCTTGAGGGCACGTGCGGAGATGACTCTGCTTGGGGATTAAGCTGGTTTGGGAAGCGAGGCCCTAGCGATGGTTTTGCTGTTTTCCTTGGAACCATTTCGGCCTCTTCTGCCTCCTGGCTCACGTGCTGGGTGTCGCGCTGCAGTTACTCCGCGGGGCCCCTCGATCTATCTAATTGAGGGTGTTTGCGCTGACGCATCGCGGTCACGCTATGGGATCTCGTTACTGCTAGGAGGACGGGCTTCCCCTGGCTGCATCGGCCCGGTGGGACTGGGCCGCCCAGGACATGCGTTGCTGGAGGCAGAGCTAAAAGTGGGCGCGTGCGTGCTGGGTGTCGCGCTGCAGTTACTCCGCGGGGCCCCTCGATCTATCTAATTGAGGGTGTTTGCGCTGACGCATCGCGGTCACGCTATGGGATCTCGTTACTGCTAGGAGGACGGGCTTCCCCTGGCTGCATCGGCCCGGTGGGACTGGGCCGCCCAGGACATGCGTTGCTGGAGGCAGAGCTAAAAGTGGGCGCGTGCCACAGACCCCAGCCCGGGCATGGCTGGCTGCAGACCACCACACAGCAGGGAGCGACGCGCATGCTGGAGGCTAACGCAGGCCAGCCCGGGG